AAGATAAAACCCCTCAGCTTTTCGAGAATTTGTGAATGGATCACTTCAGGTTATTTCTACGAGCTATGTATGCTCTATTCGCCTAGACTTCTATGCGCCCACACTAAACCTGGACATTAAATTTGCTCCAGAATCAGATGCTGCAATCAGAACATCATAATTCCACATTTCTCATTATGATTGCGCCTAGATTACATTACCCAGGTAACATAGCGTCCACAAAAGGATGCAAGACGACTCTGCGATGACCGTAGGATAATAGGAAATGGTTTTATGTATTTTTTTTCCGAACTAAAAAAAAATTCAATATTCAAATACATGATAATAGACGGCATGCAACTCAATAGCTGAGGAGTCTCGTTTTTTCAACATTGAAACCATGTTGTGGTTGGTTGATAGTACTCCGAAAACCTATTGAAGAGGTCCAACTCTTCATCATTTTAAGAGGGGTTAACATTGGTGCCACATCTAAGAAATGTAATCCGAATATTGGAGTCCACAATGTGATGTGACAACATTCTGTCAAAATTGAAACAGTGTTCACCTTCAACCCTCAATATTCGCACACTCAATCCACATCCAGTCAATGTTGATACAATGTTCTGTGTTTCCTGGGACTATCTATATATTGATTGAAGTTACTGGGTTGCGACCTAACATGGGAGATTAGAAGAAAAAAAAAATCCATGTTCGGATGCTGGTAATGCCATTCCATTAAACCATAATTCAATCAAATGGAAATAATTGAGTGTTCGATGCAGGGAAATTCTGCTCGAATAAAGCTGGGAATGCATGAGAAGATATCGATCCATTGCGATGGCATCCTATATACATCCAAAGGACAGCCGCTTTTGGACTTATACCCATCTCTGGACAACTGGACTGTCCATGGACGAGTTTTTTTTTAATCAACCATGGCTACTTGGGGTAGAAAAATTATTCCATTTGTGAATTGATGTCACAACATACGCTACTTTGGTAAGCATACTTGATAATAAACTTTTTGTACTTTTCAAACATTTGAGTCACTCTGCATTGAATACAGTATTAGGGGGGGGGGGGGGGGGGGGGGGGGAAGTAACGAATGGGAAGAAGGTGAGCGGGAAAACTGAATCTTGTCTTGTTTTGATCGAGCCGAGCATCGATGAGTCCGGCTTCCTGACTCTAAATGCGCGCGGGAAGTACAGTAGTTTTCATGTTCCTGCGCGGGTCCTATATTTTTTAAAATTCAAATGTTGAGTCTTTAACTCGTTACAGAACAGCAAAAACAGTGTCGCCAATTGAGATGACTCCATTCTGATCAGATGAGACGAAGACTCCCATGATAGGATCACCCCGTTTCGCGAACTTTGGAATCTTGTCTTCCTTCAGGGCGTGATAGTTCCTGAGTCGCACATAAGGCTGATCCGGACACACCTGTCCGGTATTCGGATTCACGTTCACAAAATTGCACCTGGTAGCCGGCATGACGAGGTTGAACATCATTCCGTTTATCTTGAATCGACACCAAGTTTCCTCGGCGAACGGGGGACAAAGATCCACGGTGATATTCGGTCGAAAATTCCCAACTGTCACTCCGGCCGAGTTCCCTTTGCCTCGGAGCTCCTCGTTGAAGGCGTCTACGCTCCTTTCGTTCACCAGGAGGAAGGACGAAACGCGGGCGAAGTGAGCTTGATATTGCGGTTTCAGTCCATTCAGCGCAGCCTTGTATTCGCGCTGTTGTCTTTGGCTTTCGGTCCAGGGGTAGTGCACCAGATGAGCTTTCTCGATTTTGCTCCCAGACTTAAGCAAATACAAAGAAATCCACTCGGAAGCTTCGTTGCCCATATCTAATGTCTCCACTCGATCGAACCCGTACACGTCGACAGTGAGCTTGGAAGCTTCCTTGCATCTCTGACTTATATCCAAACGTAAAGTTGGCATCCCGGGCGCATTTAGAGTCAGGAAGCCGGACTCATCGATGCTCGGCTCGATCAAAACAAGACAAGATTCAGTTTTCCCGCTCACCTTCTTCCCATTCGGCTCCACAAGGAGAAAAGTCCTGTCTCCGAAACCGTGAAATTCGATGCCTCTTGGAGTGCAACTAGCCCTCTCTATCCGGATCCCAGAACAAGAAGCCACGGGATAAAAGGTCAAGTTTGTCACTTTCGCCACGGGGATGGACGGAGGCTGCGTCACCCGAGATTCTTTCTTATGCCACCAATACGAAAGGTAGGAAAGACCAAGGACAGTTGCTGTCCCTGTTCCTACAGTCAGTAGCTTCAAATGCCCAGGATCCATGTTATGGTTCTTCCGGCTTCGACGAGACCCCACTGCATATATATAGACACACACATGCCATGTATATCAGTGACACTAACAGAGACATTGCCCTCGACCTTGAAAATGAAGGCGAGGATGATTGACAGGATTCCAGTTTGAGCAGGATTCCAAAAACTTAACGGAGATTTCGAATAGAGACGCCACTTACCTCGTTATCCCCGAAAGGTCCCACGAGTCCTTAGAAAAGAAGACATTTACGCAGAAATACCGACGGTTATACAACTATCATTTATTCCATCCTCAATACGTCATTCCATCCTGGGGGCCAAAATTGTCAAGAGTCGCACTGAATTAGGCAATCTCTTCGGACAAGTGTTATTAGAAAAACGAATATATTTGATCATGCTCTATGTAGAAATAAAAATATACATCCAAATTTGAGAGTGCAGGAGAGATGCTTAGTATGATAAGGGGGATACTCGTCAGAGAGGCTATAGAGTCACCATCTCTCGTCGGGTGCATTGCAGATAAAACCCCCATGAGGTTTTCGAACAGAGGCCTCATGAAGATTTTCTCATGAGATATTCGGACAACTCATGAGAAAGTAGTGAGATCTCATGAGACTTCACGGCCTTCTCATGAGCCCTCACGACTTTCTCAAGAGGCTGTCCCCTGGGGGCTCTGTTTTCGACATTTAATAAAACTAGCGGATGTTAGAATGAGACCATGTTATAAGTGCTCTGTAGATACGTATGCAGTGACTAGATTAAATTGCTGGAGCCCCTAGTTCGAACTCGTCTAAGGTCTCATTGGATAGAAAGAGAGAAAAGGTCGGTCCGAATCAATGAACTTGAGGAATGCAGTACGCTTACTGCACTTCCTAAAACAGACAATACAAGTTACGTTAATTTAATTATTATCTCACCGCGTAAAGGTCTATATTTGGTATATCCCTGCATACAATGCAGGGGTATACCAAATTTTCTCATTCATTTTATAAGGGCATGGATGCCGAACATGAAACGCTCTTGCTTCATCGTGAAGTACGATGGCTTTCCCGAGAAATGCTGAAACGTGTGTGGGAACTGAATAGTAAGCTCCTTGAGTTCGTATCAGATAACAGTAAGAGTTTTCTTATTATTTTTCCTCGACATATGGCTGGCAAAGCTGACTTACCCGGCGGACATATTTAATTATGTGAACATTCTGAACCTCCGACTCAAAGGAGGTGACTCCCACATATTCTTTCTAAATTAAGTTTCTGCATTTCAGTAGAAACTGAAAGCACGGAAGAGAAGAATCTGTGACGGGACTGTTGATGTGTTCACTCTGTTGAATCCGTTTCTGGATGACAACGAAGTGACTCTCAAAGAAGTGGAAGGTGTCATAACAGCGCATCCGACTGCACTGTACGAGAAGTTCAGTAGTTACTTTCGACTTTTGACGTTCATGGCTAAGACTGAAAGCGAAACTCATTTGAAGTCGGTTCAGAAGCGCAGGCTCTCCTGTGTAGGGCAAAGACCAGCTGATCGACTTATTGCGTGACCACAGTTTAAAAAAGAAGTATTCCTCTCAGAAGTTCTCTTCGTTCTGGCTGAAACTCGACAAAGGGATATCCTCTGCTCGCAAAAAAAGGCAGCACGCGCGTTGCTTCCCTTTATTACTAAATGGGTGACATGCACCAGATCCATTTAACTTTAAACTGATCTGGTTTCATAATGGGTATCTATAGGAATAAATTATTTCCGTCAAATTCTCATTGAGGACCATTGTGAGATCAGATTAGTTTATGTTAAACAGATCTGGAACATGTCACCACATATCTGTATGAAACAGGATTCTCTGCTCTGACTCCGATAAAAACAAAGTATGCTAACGTTCGCATCTGGAATGGGAGAACGATCTCCGACTCGCTTGGGAAAGATTCCTCTCGGAATAAAACACCTCTGCGAAGTGCACCAACGCACATGTCTTGATAGCACAGAATAAGTAGCCCTGCAGAAAAGGTCAATGAGTTTTCTTCACATTGTAATTAAATTGAAAATACCTCGATCTGAATTGCGATAGGTCGCGACATTTTTTGGACGTAGGCCAGTGAGTTGCGATTCAAAGAAGCTGGAAACCGCTACCATAGGCCCGACAGATATACTAGAGGATTTCTATTTGTTCCCATATAAATCATATAGAACATTTTCAAAACGGTGCGCAAGAATTCATGACATTAATTAACTTTTTTTTTTGTTGGTAGATGGTGTTTTGGAGCATTCAGAAGACCATGCTCCTCGTTTTCGGGTCACCCTATGCATTGACAGTGTGGAACAGCACCTCCTTCATAGCCTGCACCAAGAGGATTACTACTGCTACTAGCAGATAGTCTTCGAAATGTAAGTGAACATGCTTCTGTGCATTGCCTTGGAATAAGTTCAATTTTTAAAATAAATTCTACATCATCTATTTTGCAATGATATTGCAGTGGTTCATAATGACAACAATATCAAAATATGAAAAAATGAATTTTTTTTTTTTGCTCCGTGAAAAACGGAAACAGAGAGAGGATAAATATTATAGCAATAGAGGCATTTAAAAAATCTTCCCTGTAGACTATGAATGGACCACACAGAGAGCGCGTCTCCTTCCCAGCCTGCGTCAGGGGAGGAATGATTTTTTTCCTTCAATGGGCTGAATGCCAGCTGGAGAGGAGGAGAGAGAAAGCTTCGTGCCAGAGAGTCTAGTTCATGGTCATCCAGACCGCCGATCGCACAAGGCAGTGCTCCCAGTCATCGTCCTATCCTGTAATGATAAACCATCTATCGGGATAAATGAAGTGAAGAAGCTGAAAGATGAGTGAATGTGAACGTGCACCGGTGGAAAGGATGGAGAAGGAAGATGGAGGCTGGGCATGGATCGTTCTCGTTTGCAGCTGCGTTCTAGGGGTAAGACCCATGCTGTCTCTCACCATTCCCGACTATGACGCTCCTCATTCAGGTTCCTTAATACTCTTGAGTCTACATTTTCATCAATTGAACTTCACTTGAATTTAGCCTCACCCTCATTATTCGTCAGCACATCCCGTTTCTTCGCTAAAGAATGTTGAAGTTAAGCTGTAATCTGCAGAGAACCACAAAGTATTCCGGTGCTCGAGATCGATGGAAAAAATGAATGGCTCTTTTTCTACAGATGTCAGTGCGCTCTTACATTGGAACTTTCGGACTCCTGTATCAGGAACCGTTGCGACAAATGGAAACTGACACCACAGATGCCGCATGGCTCTTCAACCTCTGCAAAGCCCTCCAGTTACTCGGAGGTCAGCCGGCTGCTGGAGTATAGGGTAAGTGCTGCGAATGTCGGCACTGGGGGTAATCTCGGCACTTTGCAATCGTCAACATTCTGCTTCCACTGCCAGTCCCCTAGGCACGGGTAGACAAGTATTCTCAGATGGTGGGACTAATGTTGTTAACATGTGCTTGGAACAGCCATATTTGCTGTTGTAGTTTTCTCGCAGTGGCTCCTTCTCTAAGCGCACTCAGAAAATCTTGCGAAATCTTGTGATTTTGCTAAGCTTTTGCACATATCGTTCTTCTCTTCCACACTAGGTATTGTTTTTATTAGGTCGTTGCATTCATTTTTGAGTCCGTTGTAAACGACAATGATACATTGGTGTTCCAAGATTCCCAACTTGGTAGTGCCGACTATACCAGCAAGTGTGCCGATATTGCCTACATCTGACTCAACATCACCTTTGACTCAGGCCCTCGGGAATGAAAGGCCAGGGGCACTCGAAGTTTGCTGTACAAGGTTTATAATAAAGGTATGACCCGACCCAATATGAACGAGGAAGCTCCATTTACAGAAACCACCAGGCAAGGTGGAAGTGAAAAATGTGCTTAAGGTGCCGACATTCACAGCACTCACCCTATTCTTCGCCAACTCTCTCCCATCCCAAAAGATGCGAGATGATTACTGCAGGTATTCGTTGTCGTGTTTGACAGGGATGTGCGCTGGCCCAGCAGCGGCAGCGTCTTCTCACCGGAGTGTCATGACGATTGGACTCTTCATGCAAGCCCTGGGACTGTTCGCTTCCGCCTTCGCCCATTCTGTTCTTGCCCACACCTTCACATTCAGCATTCTCGTAGGTGAGGCAGATTTGACATCTGTAGATTCATCATGTGTACGTCATGTGACGCAGTCTTATCTGACTCTTCTTGCATTTCAGGCTTTGGTGGCGGACTAGATTTTGTCAGCTCCTATTTGAATGTCAATCGCCACTTTAACAAGAGGAGAGGTTTTGCAATCGGGATGTACCTGAGCAGCCTTTCCATTGGACATATGCTTATGCCACAGTTGATTGAGGCTTCCATGCACCTTTACGCCAGTCAAGGCACGATGATCCTATTAGCAGGAATAGCGATTCAAATGTTTCCTCTAGTCCTTCTTCAGTCCAGACCTCAATTGCCCTATTCGAGGGAAATCCTTCACGTCCAAACATGTGATTCCGATCATGATCGGCTAGAAGCAGCCTTGGACCATGAGCCACCTAAGCACGAACAGCAGCCCATGAAACCAAAAAAACATATGAGAAATGCAATGACTTCCATCGACCCTTGGAAACAAGCAGCGAAGAAATTCTTTTCAAGCCTTGACTTCAGCGTGATGAAGGAATCCATGTGGTGGATGCTGACAATCACAGACTCTGTTTTTTCCCTTGTACTTGGGAATATGGGAATGATCCTGCCACTTCTTGCCACAGATCGGGGTTTCCCCGAGGGTTCAGGTGCACTCCTCCTCACTATTAGTGGAAGTACTGAGCTGTTATCCCGACTCATCGTCCCTCCGTTGACTGATATCAAGAAAATAGACAATAGATACCTCTTCATGTTTTGGCTCTTCACAGTTTCTATTGTGCCTTTGGGTAAATAAGTTTCAATGTGCCCCAGAAATTAGAGATGCTGTCTGCTATTCCAAATAACCTCACTTCTCTTCCAGGATTTGCACTGAGTGAGAGCTTCTCCTTGACAGCAGTCATGAGCAGCTTCCTTGGCTTAGGAACAGGTGCCATCATCGGCATGCCCAGTCTTCTTCTATCTTTTCACTTCACGGCATCCAGACTCCCGTCTGCGATGACCTTCAAGTTGGCTCTCAAAAGTCTGTCGTTCTTCGTTGGACCAGTTGTCGGTATGTATCACTTGAACAAAATGTTATTTGAGTGAAACCATATTTTGTTAAATGAACATTTTATTTTCATTAATTACGTGGCAGGTATACTGAGAGATACAACAGGGAACTACAATCTTCTCTTTTACGTCTTCTCAGCATCCTCCTTCATTACCTCAGGAGGATGGATTCTTTATGTGGTCATCGGGAAGAAGAAGAGAATAGAAGACCAACATGAGAACGAAGGAAAACCCAGCTCCTGATAGATGTCGTTTGTCTCTTTCACTTACTGTGATGGTATTCATTTAAGAGAATCTCAACTTGGATTCCATTGTATGGACATTTCTTGTACCAAAAGATACCTTGTTATGTTTCCACATTTCAGTTCTGCACACGAACCAGGGATTTGTGCCGAGCTCCTTCCCACCACCGAGTGTTTGAAAGCATCCATAGTTGTAATCTTGTTGAGGCAAGCCATATCTACAGTCTACCCTCGATATACCGCGACTCTCACATGTCGCTAACTCTTTCTTGAAAATAAATCCTCCCCATAAGCTTATAATAGGCGATCCCCGTTATAGCGCCACCCCCGCCAGCCGCCATCCGCCAACATCTTCATATGTACAAACATGTTTTTTATTCCAAGAAAATCTTCCTCGATATTGGACCATGTAGCAATTCTTTTATAGTACCAAGCACAAATAAATATTTGCTGCCACCGTTAGAGATGACACAAAGTCGTACATAAGTGTAGAGTATTGGAGGGACTCGGGGTGGCAATGTAAGTCTCACATCCATTTAGTCATATTTTCCTTCTAAGATTTGGATATCGAAGCCACTAGCAACATAGCGGTTCATTCGATATAGTGCTACCCAAATCATAGCACCAAAGTCAGCAACGACCAACAGTGGCATTACATCGTGGGTAGACTGTACTTCCAGTAATCACTCCACCCAACTCAATGGTTCAGCAGTCTCCGACGATCAGACGCACAGGAGGGCCCAAAAGTGACGAAAACTGCACAGTGCTTGGGACTACTTCAACGGGACAATGGCACTCGTTGAGTAGGGTGAAAGTACAAAACTTGAACACCTAAGGATTGACTTGAACACACACACCTTAAGGTCAGATCAACAGCCCGAATGTGCATTCAATTTGTGTGTGTATTAATCTCAACCTTCAGGTGTTCGAGTTTTGCCATTTTACCCTACTTTAGTACCCAGCAGAGGAGCACTTTAAGGCAGGTCTGGAGATGAACCATCTCATCCACAAAAAAAACTTTTGGTTCTCAAAGAAGTCTTTTGGAAGCAATCTTAACTGATAGTATGTAACATGGGCTCTTGCATCTACACACCCCACATGGTTTTGTCTCCCCACTACAGCACTGATGCAACACTCTGACAGTGATGACTCCCATCTGAATGCAAAAAGGGCAACAGTCCAACGGTGGTCAGGTGGGTCTGAATACAAGCAAGTCTAGGCAAGAACTCCATCATGTCACATTGAAATTGCTTCAGCCTTTCATTCTTTGCTGCAAACTTGTTCAGACATATTCCAATACCTTTAACTCCTACCCAAATGTTAGTTAAGTCTTGCAACGTCTCAATTCTAACTTATTCCTTCCTATTTATGGTGGACATCATCCCAAGAGGAGTATTGAACTCCTCAGTAAGGTTATTGATCACTTTTACCCATCTCAGTGACCAATGTACAGAGCAACTTCAGAAATTCATTTGCTAAAAATTATCTGGAATGATACTGAATGAAGCTGCTCTACATTCTGATATAGGTGGCAACATTCATGGCCACAACTATTACACTCACTGTCGCATGACGTTCAAAATTCGGGTGAAGTCTTATAGATATTTCATCAAACCCTTGAAGGGAGAAGGTTTTATTGCTTTCTAGTATGTTTCCCCAGCTAGATTAAAGGCAGCTTCTTTCCATTTATTTGAACTGATGCTGAGCCAAAGCAAATAAACCCATCCATTGCACTCACATATGATTAGTCCTTCCACCTACCCAAGTGACTCAGGGTAGGATGATTGACCTACCTGTTCAACCACTACATCCTAACCTTTCCCTTGGGAAATTAAAAGTGACCTCATTGACTTAGCTTAGGTCATATAGATACAGCTCCTCCAGTTGCAAAACAGCTTTTTTCATCTTCAGGGACCATGATGATATCTGGTTCCTATTTTATACTTGGAAGCATATATAATTGAGTTCCTGTAAGAGTTCAAAAGGCACATTTGCCAAGAAGTTCAGTAATAAGGGTAGCATTGAGCAATGGATGTGTATGAGGCCTTCTTGGTGAAACAGAATACCCATGTTCTGATCTGAAAAGCCATGTTGACAAAAAAAAAAGTTTTTCATTTTCTGAGTTGCATCCAAAGATCTCCAATCTGTCTTCCAGCATGACATTTCAGTAATCTGCACTTTCAAAGCTTTGTTTTCAGCCATAAAGCCCCTTTTCAGACTTGATAACTTTCAGATAAATTTCAATATAAGCAAAGAGAAAATAATTGAAAAGGGTAAAGAAAGGCAGGATAAACAAGGAAGAACATAATTGCTTCTGGGCTATATTTGATATTAAGTGAATTCCTTATCATTGCTTGATGTGAAACAGCAGAGCAAATTTCCATTCTCCACTTTCTCACTACATACCTCTGAGTATGTGTGTGTCACGATGACCCCAGGCTCTCTGGCTTTCTAGCATATTATTGGATATCACCTCTCAGCCTTCCCAACAGAATTGGTGCATAAAGTGGGGAGGTAGAAAAGTGAGAATGACAGAATTTCTAAATAAATGTCAAGTCTGCAATAAGTTCAACAGTGACAGTCATGCCACCAAGACAGAGCTATGAGTAGTCAGATCTTTCTTTCCAAAAGACATTCTGCAGTACCTATCATCTTGACTGACATGAAAACTATAACAATAATGGGTGTGATGTATCACATCAGGACTTTGTATTCCTCTTGCATACTACTCACAGAGAATGACAACAAAAACACTGAGAGGCACAAAGGAAGAGTTTTGATCACCACTGAAAGACACAGCATGGGTCAACCACCACTGTCTCTGTTCTTGTCTGACTCCAGCCCCTCCAGGTATTGTTCTAACTCTTCATAATTACCTGCTAGCACCAGACGAAGGAGCTTTAGCTTCTCTGTCTCTGTCACTGATTTCTTGTTGCCTGAAGAAAGAAAAATGAAAGCTCTATATTGATAGTACCTAGAAAAAAAAGTCCTGAAAAGTGTCATCAATACCTAATATAAAAGGAAGAGGAAGCTGTCACCCAAAGAGGGCTTTCTTGAGACGTGAGAGGATCCCAGCACTTGGCTCTTCCTTGGTTTCCTCTTTGAAATTAATCCCTTCTGCCCCTGCATGTGCCTGCTTCTTCCCAGACCCTGAGAGAATATACATAAGCCTTAAAGCCAAGTGATGAGATCTCTCTCACGCTTTGCTAATGCAAGACTTCAGTAAACTATGATTAATTGGAAAGTGACTGATGCACTTGACCATTTGATGCCCATAAAAAATTTAGAAGAGGTTTATCAAAAATGAAATGCAGGTAAAAAATAGGTCAAGATTGGAAATCTGCTCACAGATGAGAGCCAAAAAATTAATATCCTCTCATCTGGCAAAAACTCAATAATTTTACAACCCAATTGAGAGGGGGGGGGGAGTATGAAAACTGCTTCTCCCCAAACTTCCATTTACAGAATTTTCTGCTTTTGACAGTTTTACTAAATTCAGTTGCATACATATGCTCTAGCATCCAACAGCCCAAGGATGCTCCAAGTGGGGACTTTCATGACAGCTACAACTGAAGAGTTCACGACATGCTGGCACAATAACAAGGTACCAGTAGTATAACAACATCTGGAGCAGTAACATGTATTAAACCTTATTTGGCTCTTCCTCTGCCTAGGAAGAGCAGAATTTGCAAGTAAACATAACAGGAAAGTTTCAGCACCAATTTGAAATGATTAACAAGATAGTATGATAATCTTTCTTTAGGGGAGATTTCTGGAATTCCAATGTAACAAAATCCAATTTTAGATGGTAAGTCATTTCAGAGGCAAAACTTTGAGCACTAATTGCATAATTTGTTCTCCTATTCCCACCACCTTTTTTCAGCAGCCAAACAAATATTTTTACTTCACATTCCCTAATAAATAAATAACAATGAAGCTCCATAATCTATACATGTACTGGTACCATGTTATCATCAACTTACTTCTAGGTCCATTTTGCATATTCAATGGGTAATAAACTCATCCAGAAATCATGAATAGATATTAACTTTCAGATGACAGAAATGAAGTCACTTTGGACAACAAAATGGGTTTTTTCTGAATTGTTTTGTGACAATCTGGAATTCCAATGTAACAAAATCCAATTTTAGATGGTAAGTCATTTCAGAGGCAAAACTTTGAGCACTAATTGCATAATTTGTTCTCCTATTCCCACCACCTTTTTTCAGCAGCCAAACAAATATAAGTAAGTCCATTTTGCATATTCAATGGGTAATAAACTCATCCAGAAATCATGAATAGATATTAACTTTCAGATGACAGAAATGAAGTCACTTTGGACAACAAAATGGGTTTTTTCTGAATTGTTTTGTGACAATATAATAATACAATCCAAATAATAGTAATAATGACAACNGTCCATTTTGCATATTCAATGGGTAATAAACTCATCCAGAAATCATGAATAGATATTAACTTTCAGATGACAGAAATGAAGTCACTTTGGACAACAAAATGGGTTTTTTCTGAATTGTTTTGTGACAATATAATAATACAATCCAAATAATAGTAATAATGACAACAATAATAATATATTTTTTGTCCTGTTTTCCACTCCTACAATATACCAATCATGCTTTAACTTAAAACAATATTAATAACATAAGGTCATAATGACTCCATTTCCCCCCCAAAAAAGGATACCTATTTTTGTCATCTGAAGGTTAAAACACTGTGATCTATGACTGGGACTCCATAATGCACAGTTTTACTTTTAGGAGATTTAATTTTTAAACTAAAAGGTATTTTAATTTAGGCAAACAATGACTACAATTCAGATTTGTCAAGAATGAAAGGAGCTTTCTAGGGATAGATACCTGAGTGTGTAGTGGTAATGCCATGCACAGATCCAGGGGTGTCAGTTTCTAATTCAGCATATGCAGTGATCAATGCTTTCTGTTCAGCAGTCAAGGAGCTGGGAGCCTTCACCTTCAAGTGAATGTAATGATCTCCATAACCATAAGAATTCACTCTTTTCACACCTTTTCCAGCTACTCGAATCCTTGTGTGGGAGGATGTCGCAGCAGGAACCTGGTCAGGAATCAGGATAAGCATATTGTATAATAGACAAGTACTGGTACTTATATGTTACTCGCAGAGGTACCCAGTGTTGCACAGGTAAATATTGAATAGGTCCCATATTTTTCTGCACTAAATATTTTACCCCAGGGCAGGGCCAGGTGTAGAGGCAGGCAACCACCCAAGCAACCACCTGGGGCGGGGGAAGATGCTTCTCGCCTGGGGCGCCGTTTGGAATTGGGCTGGCCCTGCCTTAGGGAGTCTGAATTGAAACACCACCTGACCTATGACCATCCCCGGACTGAATGAGGACACCATGTAAAGTTTGGTTGGACTGGGATCAGAGGTAAGGCTGTGCATAAAGGACAAACAGACAGACACATACAAACACTCTGAAATATAGTACAGATGATGTGCCATTCACATTGGATAATTTAGCCTCCATGAAATTGTAAACATTTCAAAGATGAAACACATTCATCACATTATGATGCTAATGACAGGGACCTACCTAGGAAATTGAAACAACTGGAGAAATCTAAATAGGAGAATAAATTGAAGAATATATAGGCAGGAGGTAAGCAAAAATATTGACTAAAGTAAATGGCAGAAGATCTCAAGTCTTACTCTTGTCTGCAAAACACACAATGAATTTGAATTCAATTAGTCTTTCATGAGTTGCTGCCTAGGAAATAATCCATGGTTACCACACAACTTCTTCAACTACCACCAAGAATGAAAGAGTAAATATTACATTTTAAGAAGTCAAACGAGTGTAGTTTAATCTTGCTACTGGTTCCTACAAAGAAAACAGGCTTCATGACATTGCAAGCATAGGCTTCACAGGCTTGACTTTGAAAAAATTTAATCTTTACTCTTACAT